TCCCTCCATCTATTTTTTAATCTTATAACAAAGATTTTTAGGCAACTGTCCCCCTAAATGTTTTAAAATATTAAAATTTGTAGGCAATTGTCCCAACATAATTAAACACATTATGTAGAGATGTTATTGTTAGAAAACGATGAATCAAAAACAAAGAGAAATAATAAAGAAAATCAAAAAATATCATTACAAAAAAAATTGTTTCGGGGGCGCTGCCCTGGAAACCTCCACAGGGGCACTCCCCCTTGACCCTGTGACCTGACCGGGTAGATCGAATCACGCAAGGGGGCAGCGACATATCTCTGAAGCGTACAACGATTAAGGAAATGAACAAATAGGGGTCGAGGGGCAGCACCCTCGGAATAAATTTTGATTGTAAAGATATTTATGAAAAAAAAAAATCTCTACACATTTATTTATAAATTTGTCCTCCGTATAAATTAAGACTGATTCCGCCGTAGGCTGTTGTCTAGAATTTTCCTTTGGCAAATCACTATAATCGCACTCCTTAGTTCCTACTTGATCTTCCTCTACACTCCCCAGTTGCAACTATCAAGGTATTTTTTTGCTCTCTCTCTCTCTCTCTCTCTCTCAATAACTCTATCCTCTAGCTGGGGTGTAAGTGAGCCGAGCCGGCTCGAGATCGATTTGTTTATGGGCTCGCGAGCCGAGCTTATTGGGCTCAAGAGTCGAGCTCGAGCTCAAATTCGAGCTTGAACCAGCTCAGCTCGTGAGCTCGCACCGGCTCAATTAAATATTACTTTTTAAAAAAAATATTTTATTTATTAGATTTAAATATTAAAAAAATTAATAAAAAACCACCTAAGTTTTATTTAAATGTTAAACATTTCATAATTTTTTCTAAATTTTGACTAAGTTTGAAAAATCATGCATAAATTTTAAAAATCTCGCATAATTTTTAAAATTCCCGCATAAATTTAAAAATTTATGCCCATGACTTGCTAGCCGAGCTCGTTAGTTAGAACGCGAGCTCAAACTTGAGTTCTAGCTAATAAGAACCAAAGTTAAAAAGTGAAAAAGGGTGATGTGATAATAATTGTTGTGATAATAGTGTAAAATCCAAACAAACTAATTCAGAACTCAATTATGATGAAATCATTTTAGGTCTCGAATTAAGAAAAAAATTTGTAAAACCGATAATGCTAGTGCCTAGTGTCAGGCCCAGATGCACTACATGAAAATCTATTATTACCGTCAAATTTTCTGGTGTATGCGGCGGCAGAATCGGCGGAATATTCGTCGGGATTTTAACGATGGAATTTTCGGCCAAATGTCTGCCGTTACAACACCGGTGTATTTTTCGCCGAATTTGCACCATAATTATGGCAAATTTGCGCTGGCCTACGTAAACTCGACGAATGTTTACCAACGAATTATCCGCCGGTGATGTAACCGACGGATAATCTGTTGGAAAATTTGACGAAAATGGCCCTATTTCGACCCCTTTGTTGTCTATCTTCTCATTTCTTTCTTCTTCCCTCGGTTACGTCGCATCCAAGAGCTGCCGCGAATGCGTGGCCCTCGCCGACTTTCTCCGCCGAACTTGCACCGTTCGCCGTTGTCGGTTGCCTGTACTCGCTGACTCCGGTAAGAGAAGGTCGCTGCCTCCATATCTTTGTGTATTCATTTTTGAGTTTTTTTATGGATGTTCTCACCAAACATTTGCAAGAGAATTGTTTATGGATGTTCTCACTAGACATTTGTAAGAGAATGTATCTTGGTACATATGCTTTTAAATTATTTTTATTTAGGATGCTCTCACTAGACATTTGCAAGAGAATGAACTTAGGTGTATGCTATTATTTTGGTTATGGATGTTCTCACTAGACACATTTGTAAGAGAATGTATCTTAGTATATGCTTTTAAATCGTTTCTGTCATAGATGTTCTCACTAGACAATTGTAAGAGAATGAACTTTGGTGTTTGCTTTTGCTTTTGTTTTGGATGTTCTCACTAGACATTTGTAAGAGAATATATATTGGTGTATGCTTTTAATTTGTTTTTGTTATGGATGTTCTCACTAGACATTTGTAAGAGAATGTATGTCAACCTTAGAGTCTAAAGGTTTTCACATACGTAGATATAAAACTTAATATATATGGTTATTTTTTAGGTGTAATTGACCTAGGTGAGAGATTGTGATTTTGGGCGATGAGGTCATTAATAAAAGTACACATTTTAATTAATATTTTTGATCTATTTATGATAAAATAGATAAAGATATTATTTGTAGAGTTCAAGTTGGACGGTGGAAGTAGAGGAATGCATTGGGCGTTGTTGTGTGATAGAAAAGTCCCCCTCAAACTAAGCATAATTTTAAATTAAGTGTTACAGAGATGAGGATGCTCAGGTTGATGACTAGTGGATTTACTCTTATAGACAGGATACAAAAATAGCATATATCTGAGAAGGTTGGAGTAGTTCTAATGGAAGATAAGATTAGATCGAGAGAGTCGCTTTGGATGGTGTAGTCACATAAAACAACAACATTTCGATCACTCTAAGACTTTTTGTATTTTCCCTAAACGTAGGCTTTTCGATCACTCGATCACTCTAAGAGTGGCTTTGTATCCCATCAATTTTCCTTTAGATCACTAAAAAAATTAGCTTGTCCAAATTGTATGGAATATACAAAGTCATTCAATGTAAAGAATGGAGGGAAGAACACTTGGTTTGACTATCATCGCATATTCTTACCTATATGTCATCCTTTCAGGCGAGATAAGAATGTTGTATTAAAAATAAAATGGTTATGTCACCTCCTCCTCCTGCATTAACTAGTGAAAAAATATTTCAAAGAGTAAGGTTCATGCCCACAATAGTGGATTCTTCAATATTAGCTGATTACAAATTGTCAGGGTATGATGTCAATCATAATTGGACTAAAAAAAATATTTTGTATATAGTATTGCATTTTTTTTTCTATGCAAGTTTAATTGTCGAAATTATTTCAAAAGGAAGAAGGTTTTTTTTTTTTATAGGTTTCCGACGGATTTTCTGTTGGAAATCCGGCCGATAATACAATACGACTATGTTTCCGGCGAAAATTTTGCGCCGGCATTTCCATATGATATTATGATGGTAAAGATCGTCGGTAACAGGTTGGCGGATTATCCATCAGTTTTTCTGGCATACATTATACGTCGGAACACGACACCAATAAAGGCGCCGACTTCCTATATCTTTTTTGCCGAAATTTTGTTGGAAAAAGTTACGGCAGAAAAATTACGCATGTTCAAATTTTCCGACTCGTGAATTACCGTCAAATCATTTTGAGTCGAATATAAATTCGCCATAAAGCGCATATTTCCGGCAGATTTTTGTTGTTACCCGTCGATAACAAAGCATTTTTCTGTAGTGATGTAAAGGGTTGCGGGCTTCTTTAAAATCAATGATTTATGCCGCCCACAAGAAAAAATTTTTTGACTCAACCGCTGAATAAGAGCCTCGACGCCAACACATGAACCTATTATGTGGATTGACAATCGTTGAATAATGCTCAGGTAATTGAGTGTAGTGTCAATTAAAGGATTGTCATTAAAAAATTCTAAAATAAAAGAAAGGTCTACCAAGAGATCATATGGTGACATTAACTATACATTTTTTGTATATTTTATAGCATGTTTCTCATCTTCTTTTTTGTTACGTTTATTTAAATTTTGGTTGAACATGAAAACTTATCATTTAAATATTTTAAGATATGATAATTATTTTCATATCATATAATGTAAGTGTTATAAATGTGTTTAATATAAGATTTTTTTTTGATACATCATCAAAGAATTATCTTAATCGGGCATGAATCTCAAGGAAAAATCAAGTTGGAAACTTTTGAAATAAAAAATTGGGACCATATGAACTCCTTTTTCAACAAAATTATAGTCGAACTAGACGTTTCGGAAATACAAACCCAACGACACCAAATTCGACTCAATATGAGCCCAAATGGGTCCTAATCAAGGGCTTGAAGCATTGTTGGAGGGGTCAAACCACAATTTGGATTACCAAACGATTTCCAAATGCGACATGCTTATAGTCGGATCGAGCGGCTCGACGAGACAAATCCAACGAGTCTATGATCACAGAATTCCGACATCATTAAGACATTCAAATGTCTAGCAAATGTCTAGCAAATGGTCCACGATCAAGGGATTCAACATCAGCTGTCCATCCAAACCACTCCCAATTTACCCTTCATCTTTCTATTTACAGGTCATGCCACTCTAGGAAATTTATAAATAGATCTGTCATTCCTCTTGAAAGGGACCCTAAGCATAATGAGAAAAGAGAGAGATCAGAGATTGCTCTTACCTCTTTGACCACCGCCCGAAGTTCTGCCGGACCATTGTCTGATACCCAGAGTTCCGCCGGAACACCAGGTGATGCCATGAATTCCGTCAGACCACCACTTGACACATGAGTTCGCCAGACCACCGCCTGACGCTCTGAGTTCCGCCGGAACACAACGTGACGCCCTGAGTTCTGTCGGATCACCACGTGACACTTGAGTTCCGCCAGACCACCACCTGATGCCCTGAGTTCCACCGAACCACCGCTTGGTGCCCTGAGTTCCGCCGGACAATCACTTGACATTTGTAATCGTATTCCCCCTCAAGGACGAATCAGCCCACTACACTCACTCAAATTTTAGTGGAATTATTTTCAACCGGGCTAGGCCCCGTGATTTTTTCTTTTATAGGATTTTCCATGTAAAAAATCGTGTTCTGTTTGTGTAAGCTGGATATCCTTGTAATATTAAGGCGTAAGATTCTAACTCTATCACCGCTTGCATCTAACCCGCAACAATTTTAATATTATTTATGAGTTTTTCTTATGTTAAAATAATAAATCATAATTTTTTTTAAAACAAATTAACTAATGGATCACATCCTCTTTTACCTATTTATAAGAGCTTTGAAAACATATCCTTTTTTAATAGAATATCTTCACCTATCTAGTTCCCTATTTAAAGCCATCCGCCGGTCCACAGCTACTAGCACCGAAGAGAGAGAAATAGAGAGAAGGATCTATAGAAGAGACAGAGGAAGGGGCAGAGAGAGAGAGAGAGAAAGAAGATGGGAAGCTTGAACTCGGAGAACTCCAATGGCTTCCACGCCGGAAAGCACGGAGACGCCGGTGGTAAAACGGCCGGCAAAGTCATCACATGCAAAGGTAATTAACAATTAGCACATTAACCATTTCCATAAATAGTGTTTTAGCGACAAATGCTCTTAATTAATTAGTGACTAATTGATTTTGTGCTTGATTAGCGGCTGTGCTTTGGGGTCCCGGAGAGGCCTTTAAGATCGAGGAAATAGAGGTGGAGCCTCCTCAGCGTTTGGAAGTCCGGCTTCGAATCCTCTTCACCTCAATATGCCACACTGACCTCAGTGCTTGGAAGGGCGAGGTATTATCAAATTTAAGCCGTTATATGTGTTAGTAATTATTATTCAAAATTTTTTCTTCAATTATTTGTTGTTAGATTGAGGAATAAAAAATTTTAAAATATGTGATTAAAATTTATGATTAAAATGATTAGATTTGCTAAAACAAATGGTAATAATACATTGTCGTCAAACTTTTGATTTGAAGGTTGGGTTTGTTGGACTTGTTTAGTCGAGCCGCTCGATTTGACTGTAAGCATGTCTCGTTCCCAATTCGTTTGGTAATTCAATTATGCTTTAAACCCTCCCAATAAGCTTTGCACATTTGATTAGGGCTCGTTTGATATCGTATTAGAATGATTTTTGTGTCGTTGGATTTGTCTTTCTGAGATGTTCAATTTGACTATAAACTTGTTGAAATCTGAGTTCGGATGATCATGAATTTAAATTTCAAAACTTCTCTCCCATTTGCATCAAGATTCGTGCACGAGAAAGATAGTTTTTAGTGATATATCAATAGTTTTTTCTTTGCTTTATTTTTCTCTCCCTATTTTATTTTTCGGATAGCAAATTAACTATATTTTTTGCTTCTTTATCATTATTTTTTAGAAATTTTTATGACTAAAAATTATTTTAAGAACTAGAATATATATTTAAATAGCTATTTGGTTAACAATTTATTATAATTTTTTTTTAAAAAAAGTTTCTTTTGTACCTGTTGCTTATATTAATTTTTTTGTCTAATAAGTCAATCTAATATCGCAGAACAAACTGCAGCAGATCTTCCCTCGTGTTCTGGGCCACGAGGCCGCGGGGTAAATAATTTATTTATATTATCATTAGCTGCTCTAATCCCATCTATTACTGATAATTAAAATGCTAATCAATTTACTAATTTTACTAATTAATTGATAGGGTTGTGGAAAGTGTTGGGGAGGGGGTGGAGGATTTGAGACCTGGTGACCGGGTGGTACCGGTTTTTACCGGGGAATGCGGGTGCTGCGACATGTGTCGGTCGGATAAGACTAACATATGCTCGGGTTTTGCGGTGGACCCGCTGCGGAGCGTAATGAGGGCTGACGGGCGGGTTAGGTTCTTTTGGGTCGGACCTGATGAAGAACGACGACCTGTTTACCACTTTTTGAACACGTCGACCTTCGCTGAGTACACGGTTATCGACTCTGCGTGTGTTGTGAAAGTCCCCGCTGATGCGCCGCTTAGCAGAATGTGTCTTCTCAGCTGCGGCGTCTCCACCGGTATGTGCATAAGCTAATTTGGAAGCGAGAAAAATATTTTTTAAATATTGATAAATTCTTTTCTATTTACTTTTTTTAATGTGTAGTTAAAACTAAGTCCATATATTTTAATAAATTAAATGAAAATGGGTTAGACTTGGTTTGAGATGTTTTTTTAGTTTTTCTTAAATCAATTTTTTAGTAAAAAAAATAAAAAATTGTAACTAAAAAACTAATTTAATAAAAAGTCGTTCTAAACGAAGTTTTAGGTTTTATTTGTAACGACTTTCTTACTTCTTAAAATAATTTTTTATTATAAAAGTATTAATTTTGTAATAGAATGTTACTTCAAGAAGCATTAAGAAAGTCCCAAGGTTTCGTTTGAGATGACTTTTTTTTCTGTTTTTTAAAACAGTTTTTTAGTACAAAACTTTTAATTTTTTACTAATAAGTTGTTTTATGAAATTCATCCAAAATAAAGCTTTAGTATTCTTTTGAGACAACTTTTTTATTTCTTTCTAAAATATTTGTTTAATGCAAAATTTATTTTGAATTAAAAAATTACCTTTAAAAGTAATAAAAAAAGTTCAAGTCTTAACGGACCGTATTTATTCAAAGATCTATAAATTTTAATAACTTCAGGTGTCGTGCATTTGAGCTTATTTTTCAAAGAAAAATATCTGTTGAAAATATTTTGTTAAATTTTTAAAAATTATTAATTTATTTTGATCAAAAGGGAAAATATAATAAGGGCATTCTGGGCAACTTTTTTTGCTGTTAACTTTGAACATTTGCCCAATAAATTATTTGAAGGTGGGAACCACTTGTTTCTCAGTCCAACCATCCATCTTAAAAAAGCCCTCGAATTTATAGCGTACTGCATAGAAATAAATTTAATAAATTTAATGAGCTTAAAATTTTTAAAATATTTTCTGAATTCCTGACTGAAATTTGAAAAGATATTGTAAAAAAATAAAATAAAATTAAAAATAAAAATAAGCTCTTATAACAACGTATCTTTTGAGAGAACAAAATAGACCGATGGAGCGGTAGTTGCTCAAGTCGAGCTAGGGCTACGGTTACCAAACGTAGCAAAGTGCATTAATGGTAACGTGTCCAATAAAAGCCACACTTTCCTGAGATATCTATATAAAAAAAACTTTATAGTCACATCAAGCCTCAATGTAGCATTACTGTGCATATAATGTCAAAATTTAAAAGTACATTTAAATAGATTTATTTATTGAAAAAAAAAAGTAGTAAAACATTTTTATAAATGTTATATGAGTTTCAAATTCTTTTGATTTAGTTTGTTATGATTAATTTCTAGTATAAAATAGGAGATTAATGTCTGATAAAAATGCTTGCAACCATTTTCTATTTTAATTAGATAATTCTATCACATTATCAAAATAAATTATTAGTTTTCTTATATTTTGATTTCCCACTTAAATTCAAGTAAATTAATTCAAATATCAAATATAATATATATTATAATATATATTATATTATATATTTAAAATTTCGTAATATATTCTAATAAGTTTTTTAATTTAGTTGGATTTACAATGAAATAATTATAGTCCATAGATATATTATATAACAGTAAAATATAGTTTATCTCATTTAATACATTGAAAAAGGAAAAAAAAATTAGTGTGAAAATTATTCCGATCAAAATTTTTATCATTTAAAAAAATAAATATGATTAATTTAAAAATGAAAGTAATATAAATATTTAAACTTTATACTTATATTAATTAATGTATTCAAATGATTTTAATATACTTTCTTTAATGACAAATCTGAAGGAGTTGGAGCGCTTGGTTAATACGGCGAACGTCGAAGAAGGATCACAGTGGCAATTTTTGGACTCGGTGCAGTTGGTCTTGCGGTGAGATTGATGTTTTTCTCCACTGGAAAATTTCTGAAAAAGAAATATTTAATAAATAAAATATATTATCAAATAATATAAATTAGAAAAAAATATAATAAGAAAAGTAACATCATAGATATCTTAATTAAAAATAGTGGATAAATATCAAAAAATTAAATTTAAATAAAATGATTGTAATTATAATTTGTTGTATTAAAAAATATCCAAATTATAAAAATGATTATGATGAATATTAAAACTGTAAGATATAATGGGTTTAAATATATAATTAAATTATATATATTTATTAATATATTTCATATTTTATTTATGATATTATGATTTTTGTGCTTCTTAAGAGTTTGGAAGGATGCCCGGTGAAAGGAGCGGCCCACTAATTGAATGAATTAACCCCAAGTATAATATGTGAAAAGGAATTATTTATAATTTATTTTAGTCGTAGTTTGTTATTAATAAGGTTTATCCTGGGTGTATTTGGACATCGACGAAAATAATCACTGAAATGTTAGTCTGACGACGTCGAAGGTTCATAATTAAAACGGTCAGTATCCACTCAAAGTTTCAATGCCCGAAATTGCACGAAGTCCTACCTAAAACATTGCTTTCAATCATATGGGACCAATTTTGAGCCGAAATGCATTGGTAGTCGTCACGTGTGGTCGTTGACCCGATGCCAGTGTGAAATTTATAAGATCGCGCATGTTGTTTTTATTGTATAAAATTAATTAAAAGTTTATGGTGGCTGGAATAATAGTCTATGACATGTAGCTACTGGTACTTGTAAAAAGACATGATATCGGTGTAATTTAGCTCCGTTTGAGATTATTTTTTTATTCTTATGAATAGTTTTTAGCTTATAAACATTTTAATTTGAGAATTTTTCTATAATTAAAAAAACGTTTTAAAAAAGAAATAAAAGTTGTCTCAAATGGAAGTTGTAATTTAATATTGTAAGGGAATATTTTAATTTAAATGTTTCTGCTAAGATAAATTACAAAAATTTAGATTTTCAATAGTTTTATATCAATTTAATTAATTTTCTAAATAATTCTCTCCACAAAATTTCATTTTTTTTTTCTTTGATAGTTTATTTTCTTTCTCATGATTACTTGGGTTTTCTTTGTTTAACTAGGACGAGAATGGCATTCATAGATTTCATTAAACGCCTAAGAGCTTACAACCTTTGCATAGGAAATAAAGAAAAATAGTAATACTAAGATTTTTTTGAATACATTGTATTCGTTCTGTTTTTTATTAATAATCATATTTTTTATCTTGATCAATTTATTTATTTTGAAATACTTTCAGCATGAACAAGATTACTTCATCATAAAAATAAATGAAAAATCATATTTTTTATATAATAATCTATTAATTTTCTTATGACTTAAATAGTTATTTTGGTATGGTTGATTGTAATACTCATCAACTATACGTCCTTTTATTTGAGATTGGCTTATATGAGTATTTTAAATTTTGACCTAATTGATAAAATGTCTAAAATATAGATGATTATACAGGTGATAAGGGAATTGACCAAAGGAGGTTGTGACTATAGCTTCGAGTGTTCTGGGAATGTGGAAGTTCTCTCGTGAGGTCGTATCTATCAACTCAATCTGGTACTTCCATTACTAAGAATATGTATATTAATCATATTTAAAATCCCAATTATATATTATAAATTATTTAGCTAATTTATAATAGTAGAATCATACATATTTATTGCAATAATACATAAATTTTCCAATTTAACTTAATTAAAAATAATTCTTTATTTGTTTGATGGTTGACGACAGGGTGGGTATTAACTGTAGTTTCTGAGCGTCGACCCATCGTGTAGCCAACTACCAGTATTTCAATTATGGAGCTCTTTCAGAGGAAGATAGTCGCTGCGTATTTCGGAGGCTTCAAACCAAAAGTCCCAGTGCCGGGGTCTAATCAACAAGTGCATAGCTGGGTGAGCATAAGAAGATTTATTACGTGTGGAATTCAGACGTAGAGAACCGTTCGATTTTTGTGACTGTGAACAGTTAAAAAACAAATACAGTTCACCACTGCTTAATGTTATAGTTCACAATGTCTGAAACTCTGCACGTAATAATGTCTTATGAGCATAAAAATTGACTCTTATGAAATTTATAATTATATTATTTATATTCATATATAAAGTCTAAGGATTTATTATATGATTTTTCAGCGAGGTTAAGATAAATCTAGATGGTTCATATCTCATGAGATGCCCTTCTCTGAGATCAACAAGCCTTTCAACTGCTCTCTGAGGGCAAGGCTTTTGAGGTGTCTTTTGAAGCTTTGAGAGGATTTATATTGGTGGAATTAGAATCTGTTTATGTGAGCATACATTGCTCGTGATGAAAATGATTAAATGAATGTTCTCCGATTATCACTTCCTTTTTTTTTTCTGTGTTTGGTGTTTAAATAGAATCAAAGATCCTCATCATTTGTAGGTTTTTGTTGATTTTGTATTATATTGCAAGTAAATAAGATTAAATCAAATAAGATTTTAGCTTTAGAAAGCTATGATATTGTATTAAATTGAGTTTTTATGATTTCACTTGTTGTTGATTCATTAGGAGTTAAATTAGAAAATTTTTCTTAATTTACTATATATCCAATTTATATAATAGAGCCCTCAGAAATTTTCTTGGAAACATCGGGACGATCCGGAGATTAACTAGAATGCACATTATCATGTACACTAGCAGACTGCAGCATCGATAATGAACAAAAAGTGATGTGGCGTTTTCTGATTGATCTTCCGGACGCCTCCTGTATCCGCACATATAATATTTTTGATAGACTATAGGTATCTTTGCTTGAACACATCAATCGCTGTGTTTTGTGCTAATTTTGTGTTTGATTCTGATTCAATTTGTCCGCTGTTTGCACAACGGTTGGGTGCTCCATCTGCGTCCTGCTGCTTATTTTATTTCCACTATCTCTTCGGTGTCGAGTCATCAAAACGGCAATGACCTGTTTTTTTTTTTCATTTTTATCGAACACTGCTGGAAGGCTATCGCATTCGTCGATTTCGTCACGTTCAACGAAATCCACGTTCCGTCCATCTACCCATCACCATCGAAGATCGCATAGCATATCGTCGATTCAACGGAGTGTCCGTTCTCACCCGCTCAAGAAACGGAGCCCAGACTCTGCTTCGCCCCGATCATGTTCCATCTCTTGATGAAAAACAAGAAACGAACAGAGGAGAAGAAAAGAAAGACGATGACATAAAGGAAGAACTTGAATTAATTTCTCAATCTTCTTACAGATACATCATAGGTCTTATATAGAAGATTCCTGTACATAATGTACACGTGTACAAATATTACTGGATAATGAAATAAACGTAAATAAGTATAAGTCTATTCTAACATTGCCCCGCAAACTGACGGTTGGGGAGCAACGGCCAGTTTGGAGCGAAGAGTTTGAAATCTGTTGGTAGCTAATGGTTTGGTGAATATGTCGGCAATTTGATCTATGGTGTTGATAGGGAGTAGCCGAATGTTGTTTATTTGAATGTGATCTCTGATAAAACGTTGATCGATCTCAATGTGTTTGGTTCTGGCATGAAAGACCGGGTTGTTAGCCAGAGCTATGGTCGAGGTATTATCACAAAAGATGTCAATCGGTGTACTGTGCTGAATGGAGAAGTCGGAGAGTAGCTTCTTGATCCAAATAGTGTCTGCTGTAGCGGCGGCAAGGGCACGGTACTCAGACTCTGTAGATGAACGGGAGACGGTAGATTGTTTCTTTACTGTCCACGACACAAGCGTATCGCCCAGGTATGTGCAAAAACCGGATATGGATTTTCTGGAAATTGGATCGGCCGCCCAGTCCGAGTCCGAGAATGTGCGAAGAAGAAGAGTAGATCGCGTAATGGGTATACCGAGATCAATGGTCCCTTTGATATATCGAAGAAGTCGTTTCAACAAGTAGGTGTGAACAATTTGCGGGTCATGCATGTGTTGCGACAGTGTGTTAACCGAGAATGCAATGTCTGGGCGCGTTAATGTGAGGTACTGAAGAGAGCCAATTATTCGCCGATAGGTGGCGTGATCAAAGCAAGGTTGTTCATCTTCGGCCTGAGGGGGAAGTTTGGTACAAGAGGGATTAGCAAGATGATTACAGTGGGTTAGATTAGCTAACTGAAGAATAGAAAGAGCATAAGAGCTTTGAGATAAATGATACTTATCTTCGGATGATGTGATTTTTATGCCCAGGAAATGATGTGCTAAGCCCAAGTTCTTCATGGTAAATTTAGAATGTAATTTCTGGAGGAGATCTGAAATCGCCTGTTGGTCGTTTCCAGTAAGAAAAATGTCGCCGACGTACACAAGTAGATAGACTTGGATTTTGCTGTAATGTAGTGTGAGTAAAGATTGGTCGGCTTGACTGTGCTTGAACCCGAGGCTAAGAAGATAATTTGTAAACGTTGTGTACCATTGCCTCGAGGCTTGTTTGAGGCCATAAATTGCTTTTCGTAAGAGGCAGACGTGGTCGGGTTGAGATGCGTCTTCGAATCCCTTGGGTTGACTCATGTAAACAGTCTCCGAAAGTTCGCCGTGAAGAAAAGCATTGGTGACATCAAGTTGCTGGACGGGCCAGTGGTGGAAAAGAGCAATGGTAAATAGTATACGTATCGTTGGTAGTTTAGCTACCGGACTAAAGGTGTCATTGTAATCTAGTCCGTATTCTTGCCTATTGCCTTGAGCGACTAATCTCGCTTTGTATCTAGCTATTGATCCGTCCGAATTGAGCTTGGTGCGGTACGTCCATTTTGATCCGAGGATAGGTCCGTTTTTAGGAGGAGGAGCGAGCTGCCAGGTACCCTGTTTTTGGAGTGCGAAGAACTCGTTTGCCATAGCCTCCCGCCAATGAGCAGATTTATAAGCCTCTTTGTAGGTAGTAGGTTCGGATGCAGAAAAAGAATTGGATTCTTGAGTCTGATGAAGCA